AAACCCTCCTATTAATCTTCGTGCAGTTATCTATGTATATTTGTTACTTACAATATTAGCCATATTAGTAGAAGAGTAGGATATATAATATTTTTTGTTAATTTTTTTCATGGTGGCTTACCGAGGTTACTAATTACTTGACTGGCAAGGATCAGATATAATAACCTTCTAATAACATACACGTTCATGATATAAACATGTATTTTTCTCCTTACTATCACAAAAACTTTATTTTCTACATAACTCACATATCAAGAAAAGCCAACAAAGTGGACTGAGGCTATGTAGATTATTTATGAACTCCGAAAGTGAGGGTTCTTACCATAGTTTCCAACCTCTCCTAACACACAAACAAAAAGACAACAGAGAGGCAAATGAGAGAAGCAGACTCACAGGATACCGATAAATATGCATAGTATGGATTAATTTCAAATGGAGAGATCGAACCTTGTAATGACACACTTTAATGTTATCAAAGTATAAATAAGCACTCATTCCACCCTTCAATACAGATACTAACTTCAAAGTTGAGAAAAATCTCATGGTAGTTATTTCAAGAACTTGATACAATATCAATAACATATTTATTCATCAGACCAATAATCTGAAGTAGATTGCTCATATACACGAACAAAGTGCATCCGGAATAATGCCGCTGCAATCTGAGACCTCGAAACTTTATTTCTATACAAAGCAAATTTGCTGTCACCCTCACTTATCAAAAGAAGACAACAAAAAGGATTCAGTATATAGAAACACATGAACTTTGAAAGTGAAAGGATATTATTCTTACCATTCTTCTTTATTTGCACATTCTTCACATGAAAACAAGCAGCATTTAGAGTTACCCTCAACTTATAATTTATTGGAAAGACCTTGGTTGAGAGCTGTTTAAATGAACAGAATTTATCTCCATATTAGATTGTGGCATTTGTGATACTGATCTTGCCATCTCAAACTCGTTAAAGTACTCTTTCGCATTGAAGTCCATCATTGGGTTAGCAGAATGCGATTGAAACATTGATGGGAACACCATAGCGTGAGCTTCATTGGACTGAGATGATCGAATTCCATGTTGAGATAAATACGCATTTATCGCTTCCAATTGATAATAGGAGCTATTATCCCTCTGGTGAACTTCATGAGATAAGACCTGTGCATTTACAATATCATTACCCTTAGAATGGTCGCCATCACCTTGATTCAAGCCTTGGGGTGGAAATTTTAAAGGAGGAAGTTTATTGATCTCATGTTGAGCTTTATTGATCAACCAATCCACAACTTTGCTAGGTTGATTAAGCCCTAGCCTATCTTGAAGATCATACAATTGGATTGCTGTCGGAACCGAGAGCCTGACTCTTCGGTCCCTCAATCCTCTCACAGTGCTTACTTTACTGTGTCGATCTTTACCTCCAAATTCGCGCGAAACACGAACAATTCTAGGGTTTCTTAGCGCTGACAATATCCTTGAGCTTGTTGGGGGAGCTTTGTGATTGCCTTCTTGTTTAGTTGAAAGATCTTTGTTGCTTTGATTCCTTATCATCTTAATTATTTACTTTCATCAGCAGTCGAAAGTTGTTAAATGAACTCTTGATGATATTTCTTTTCTGTTGTATGGTTCTCCCATCTTCTTGAATCTATCTGATCCATGACACGCACATAGAGATTATTATCAGGGACATATTCAAAATGAATCGTGAGGAAACCAAATGAGTCAATATGAGTACTAATTGATTAATATTGTCTTTGCTTAAAAAAAAAAGAAATACAATCTTGATTTGTTATTTGAATGTAAATTAAGATTGAATTCAAAAGAAAAGTTTCATGTCCTCCGTATATGAGATATATTTCCCTCACATACATGATTATGAGAAGAGAAAATACGTAGGAGATCTAATTAATGAGACTGTAACTTAAATATGTTGGTAGATTACATACAACAATAGTTAAATATACTGAGTCATCATCATCAATTTCTAGTTTAATTAACCCATGCAATAGGTTATATTAATGGTCATTTATAAGATTTAAATGACTTATAAATTAAACCTTTGATGAAAGAATGAAAGATCTACGAAAGCAAAGCAATTTATACTTTCAGTGAGGAATTAAGTTCACGGTCGCATATATATACTATGAAATCAAGGCAAAAGGATAATAGCAAAACTTGGAGAATGAGGAATATTTATGTATATCTAAAAAAAATCAAATTTTAACTAATATCAGCTTCACTTGAATTGCTTAATAAGAATCATAAGGAAAAAAAAGCGAAATTCAGGAAGGACTATAAATTAACTGCTTCGGATATAACAAAACCAGTCATTCTTCATGAACAGATGTCTAGATCAAAGAAGAGAAGCCCCCCCCCCCCCCCCCCCCCCCCCCGTCCTTCCCCTATATGAGAACAAAACCAATCAAACTAAAAATAGAGCATAGAGAACTCCTTGAGAAGCATGAATACATAAATCAAGATTGCAAGCTATTTCTTAGATGAAAGTGAATTAATATGAAGCCTAGCTAGATCGACTTACCTCCAATTCCCCTTGATGATTTATCACACAAACGAAGGTCAATAGTGGGGAAAAAACGCAGTACTCAATTCACTTGAAGAACCTAGATCTTCTTGTCTGCCATCCTGAAAGTCAATCAATCTGAATTTTCTCCGTGTCTGAGCCCTCTCTAGATAACCTATATGCACACTGAGAAAGGAAAGATGCTTGAATTTTAGAAACCCTAGAAAATGAAAAAGTGGTTCAGTGTATTTGCAAAAGTGTGGTCAGCAAGTAGCTAGTCGTCAATACGAATCACACAACGAATAGCTTGTATCAATTAAAATAGTCGATTTTACCTCCTATTTAAACAAAAACCTTTACCATGGTATTATGTGTGTGTGTTTATGTATTGGAAATAACGGGTATGAGATGACGATTCATCTTGCTAAATGAGTTCCTAAAAGATAGTCATGTGCTGAGGTCAACCTTGCTAGTCACATCAAAAGGGATGTACCTTTGTAGCAAGACAGACCACCACCTTATACCTACCATTCCCATTTGTCCTATGAAATTAAGATTCTTTGTAAGAAAGCTGCATTCATTACTACTATATGTATGCATACATTAATATGTTCATAAATGAAGAAATAACCAATAATTTGGTAGCGCATGAGGGCGCTAGGGTTCGCAATTGGTATAATGACTTAGATGCAAGACGTTAACATGATATGAATTCAAATATCAGTCACAGACTAGCAGTAACACAATTAAAATGATCTCACATTTTCATGTGGTCCTAATAATTAATAATGTAAAAGTTTAAGCAGTGTGAGGAGTTTAATGTGAATGTACTAAAAACCCTAGAGGCTATAACATAGGCCGGGGACCAACCGTATTAGGATGGACCATACAAGTTGATATGCTTTTTGTGTAGACAAATTTTTAAACGTAAATTATAAAGCTGGTTTATTGGGCAGAGATATTTTCTAACTTATTCTTTACGTGACACAAGATTTTCGAATTCTCAGCATGTTGGTCCCTATGTGCTAGCTAGGTATTTTTTATGTTTAAGTGCAATAAATCAGAATTTAGAATCATTACAATATTTTAAGCTATTATTCTTTTGTACATTGAGTAAAAAAGCATCAGTAAAAAAAAATATATCATATCTCAAGCATGCATGAGATGTAGCCCTGAGCTGCATCATTTCTCAGTTACATATATACCATTGAAAAAGAAGTAATGTCAGGTAGTTGTCCATTTGGACCATCACAATAAAAATTTACCAAATGAGAACATTGAGTTTATTTGTTATCTCCTTTAATCCGAATGAAATAATATATCTAACAAAATGAGAAAGTCTGAGGTAATTCACTAGGTCATTGCTCTTAGGTACAATAAAATCTACCATATCGAGCTCATTTTACTTAATATAGAACAAAGCCAAAAGAATGCGCTCATAATTTATTGTAGTAGAAACTTTTAACTGTAAAAAGACAAGCACAATATATCCTCCCAGAGAGAGAGAGAGAGAGAGAGAGAGGTGGGTGATGCTCATATTAACAAATATAAGGTACATGATTCTCATATCAGGAATCTATCCTACCATCTTTTGCCTTTTGCTTGAATAGCTTTAGGAATTTTTTGAGTTCTATATAGGACATCTTTAGGACCAAAAAAAGTATTAATGATGCTATTTACTATACCAAAATACGCACATACCCTTAGTTAATAGTATATGTAGTCTTATAGTTTACTATAAGATGAATTATTAGTTAACCTAGATGTAAGTTTAGGATATATCTAGGTTTCACAATCTCCACCAGTTGTATACACTTCAAAGTAGTTCAAAAAGGTAACATCAATTAGACCTATATATGAGCCCAAATAGATCCTCTTCATGTGGTACTTATCACCGGTTGTGAGGCCACTTTGCCATTTAAGAGCAATTTGGTGAAGTACAGCATAGATGTTCCTTTCATCTGAGGACTTCTTATTTGAAGATTAACCTTTTGCTATAGTAGTTATCAAAGATAAATAAAGAAATAAAGTCTCTCTCTTTTTACATGACTCATTCGAGGCCTTCCCTTGTAGAGCAGAGGGAGAACAAGTGTGTAAAACCTATCTTGAGATGTAAAGAGATAAATTAATTAAAGAAGCAAATCCGACGATCAGAAATAATAGAGATGTCATAAGGAGTGTCACACATCCGTTCAAACATGAGATGATAATTCATTCCATATCAAAAGACAATGAGATGAACACGACTAACTGAGACTCCTAACTTAATATATGTCGATCCATTTCGTCAATTTGGATCCTAATTTATTAGCCACTTCAGATATGTAACAAGTTCATGGCTAAGTGAACAAGTAGATTGAGAAATTCTCCTTCTATTTGAAAGGCACAAGTTAAAAGAAGATGGGATACAGTAGAGAGAAGGGTAGCTTGCTGGAATTATAATTACAGATCAGAGCAGTGGATCCAGCAGCACCCTTTTTCTGGAATTATGCACGGCACTTACTGCGGCTAGCGCATGCAATGCAGTACTCAGTACCTTTATACACCTATTCACCTTCAGCTGTGTCCCTTCCATCCTACCAAGCTACTGTAGGGACATAATACCATAACTTGTTTGGGAGTTTACAAAGGAAGGAAAGACAAGTTATTTTTATTTTGTTTGGGCAGGAGAAGGTACTCTGAAGAGCCCCTGAGTTTTACCTCTCTTCTTTAAGGAGCTTTCTATTGTGAAAAACAAGCATAAAAACAGATTCAAAATAGTACAGAACAAACCATATAGAAAAAAAGAAAAGAGCAGAAAGTTGAAAATATAATATTAAATACACTTCAAGTTTGAAATACTTTACAGAAGTATTGCATCGCCCTCTTAACAGATGACTGACCTTGAAGAAACTATGCCCCACCTACGGTAGCGTTGGGTTTATACAGTACTTCCGAGGATGAGATGGCTGCTGTCCAAAGAAACGCTCTCTTCTTGTGAACACCACGACTACTTCTTCAGTTCGTCAGAACCTCCAATACTTAACAGCTTATAGAATTATTAAAAGAAGAAGACAGGAGATTTCATTTTTCTATATGTTTCAAATGATCAGAAGAAGCCCTTTTATAAGGTTCATGGGAGACAAATATTTAAATTCTAGTTATTGCAATGTTTGTAACGTCTGTAATAAAACCTATTCAATCCTTATAATGTTTGTAACATACGAAAAGTTCAGCTAGTTTTAAGTGAGCACATGCAAAATGTTTAACCTCGTTTAAAGACAACACGTGCAAAAAGAGCATGCGCCAACACACGCGTCAGACCGCACACCCGGACA